GTACACTTTTGACTCCCATGGCAACATTCATTTACAAGATTATTAAAATATATGAACCAAATAGAATGTGATATTTATTATTTACCTTTTATAAAGATTTATTATTTACCATTTTATGAATGAATAAAATTATCAAAATATGTATGAGAAAAAAATGCTCTCAACCTATTTTAGAAAATTTATGTGGTAATGAAAGAAATGCCCACAAATTGGATTTTTACAAAATTTATAATTAAAGTTATCTGTAATTATGTGTTTATTTAAATTTTCTTGTTCAGACATTTTTATAAATTTAAAAATCAAAAAATATTTCATGTTCATATTTTCATATTTATTTCTTTATAAAACGATAAATAATAAATATTTCATTATAGTTGGTTCACATATTTTCATAATGTTGTAAATATGAAATTATTCTTGTAAATAAACAATCCAATAAATAAATAGTGTTTTAGATCTTTGGTGTCAATTCTCAAGAATAAAGAAAATGTATAAATTCATTTTGATATATTTGAGTTTTATTAAGATTATAATCATTGCTTTTTAAAATAAACATTGCAGAGGGAGTCAAAAGTAAATACAGTAATAGCAGTGTCAGGAGAATAACAATCCTTTTGACACAGTTTTTTTGCAGGCACAAAAATTCTTGAACCTGTAATTTGGGGGCAATGTGTTAAACACTGCCTCAAAATTTTATAACTACACATTCAAGAATTGTTGTGCCATTTTTATACTCTTTTAAGAATAAAACAATACTAGGATACTATACAATACTATATTGCTATATATATATATATATATATATATATATATATATAAAAATACTGCACAATACGATACACTGGTGTGCAAGAGTTTTGGGCCAACTATATAAAATGATTATACGCTTGGTACCTCCACAAAATTGCTGAAAACCAAAAGCATACTATGATGAAAAGATTCCCCAAACTTGATAAAACTAGGTTTCATCATCAAAATCTTTATGTCATTATTAAGAAGAAAGACTAAAGTATTTTTGAGCATTTAATTTTTTTCATCCTTTTTATAACATTCAAATTTTGGTTAAAAATCTTGTTTTTCTTGTGTCAACAGATGGACTATAAATTAGCATAGCAAATTTTAGCTTCTTTTTTATGATGAAAGACAAATTTTTGGAAAATCTTGCAAAAATCAAATAATTGTCAGATTTTAATGAAACTTTCAGGACTTAAATAATTTCATTCATTTGTGAATAAGTCCTAAAAGTTTCATTAAGATCCAACAATTATTTGATTTTTGCAAGATTAGAAATTTTTTGTTTTAGAAAATCTTGCTCAAAATATTTGTGGGGTGTACACTTACTTAATTTTATGAAAATTGGAGAAATTCAATAAGATAATCTTTAGTGACTATGTTAGCTTAAAACAGAATTCATTGGGGAATTCAAATTCCTAATTTTTTTTTTTTTTTTTTTGTAAAATCACACCACGAGACCCTGTCTTACTGAAAATCTGTTCTGCATCATGAAATAAAAAAAATCAGAAAAATTAAGACATTATTTAATTAGAAAAGCTTTTAATTGCTTTTATGAATAAGATATATTAAGGACATTATTGTCTTAAGTAAAAAAAAATTTTAATGAATAATGAAGTTTTACAAAAATTTTAAAAAATTTTTTAGATAGAATAAATTTTTAATTAGAATAACTTCTAAAAATTTGAAATCTTTTAAAATTCAGTTTCACTGGTGTAAAGGTTAGGGAGTATTGTTATTTAGTAAAACTATATTTAGTAATCATAAATCAAAAAGCTTGTTACAATCAGTCAATATTTTCAAATAATTTTGAATCATTTTTGTATTTGTATAAATGTGCTGATTTTTGTAGATGTCATTACTGGAAAATAAGAGCAATAGCAATAGTAAATTTAAAGTCAATGGATCTAAAATTCAATAAAACATTATTTTACGTAGAATATTTTCCTAAATTTTAAAGATGACCGAGTACTTAAAAATTATGCATAAAAGGTGCTCTCATTCTTCAATTATTTTTTTACAGATAAAAAGCCCCTGTAGAACAACATTAGATAAAAATTAATCTGTCATCAAACTATCAACACATCAACAGATTAAATAAACAGCTGCCAAGGTGTTAAAAAATCTTAAATATTTTAAACTTAAAGTAAATAATATTTGTTTCAAATCAGATTAATTATACCTTAAATTAGCTAATATTCCTCAAATAAAGTATCAGAAAAGTATATTTTATGTTTCAAAGGTTTTTTTTAATAAAGTGAATTACATTGTGATGATAGGTGGCTAAAAATGGTGCTAAAATCCAAAATTTTAGCAATTTAAAAACAAAAACTCCTTCCAATCAATTTAAATTAGTTTTTGAAATACAACAGAGTATTTTGCTTATTGAAAATATTAAATTTAATCTATTAGCTTGAAATGAAAACTTTTAAAATAAAAGCTTCAAGAAAGATTTTTCATTTTTAAAAATTCATTTTAAACCTGAGTTATTGTGAATCTGTGGAGGTACCTATACACCTTTATTTTATTAAGTTAATTTTTTTAGCAGTATGCTTTTTTCAGTAGTGTCCGTGGACATTGAGGATTGGAAAATAAGTTGTTGCCTTTTTGTAGGTGCCTTGTAACAGAAGATATGCTGCTTTAAGCAGTTTGAAGATGAAGAAAAGGACATGCAAAACTATTGGGCCAATGAATGATCGAAGATGGTAAGTCATAATAATATCAAATTTTCTAAATAGGAATTCTTTCATCTTAATAACATGAGTATAACGTGCTTTGGCAAGTCATTGTAGTTGAACATTAGTTTTTACACTAACATCTTGGATAAAATTTTGCTGAAACAAAGACAAAGATTGTGACTTTGAAGGGGAAAACGATTCAACAAGAGATACACAGGTAGCTGGGAATTTTCAGAAACTGTGTTCAACTCATCCAAAAGATATTTGCTACAACTGGAAGTGTTTTAAGTACAAAGAAAACCAGAAAACTACAATAGTTATATCAATAAAATATTGTCGGTGTCTTGGTAGGCAATCCAAAATTAACAGCCAGACAAGTGAGAAATGAATACAGTCTTAACGGTGAGATTTTAGTTGATATAGCACACAGGATATTATGAAAAACCCAACATGAATGCACATATGCCATAAAATAATCATCATAACCAAAAAACATTAGAATGAAAGACTGAAGTGGCCAAAAGAAAATTTAACATGGGATGCTGGAAACTGGTAAAAAGTAATTTTTAGTGATGAATGCAAAATAGAGTTGTATTCTAATGCAAGGGAAGATGTAAGAATAACAGTGTGAGAAAGAAACAATACAAGATGCACCATAAAGATGGTAAAATAATGGGGTGGAGTTGCATCAAAAGCAATGATAGAATAAAATTGGTTAAGCTATTTGAAACCTAAACAATGAAAACTATTTTAGTCAACTACAATCTAATCTTTTTACAGACTATGAAGATGAATTTTTTCAGCATGACAGTGTTCCTTGCCACACACCACGTAGAACAAAACAGTTTCTTGTGGATAAAGATGTTCAACTTTTGTAAGACTGGCCAGCACAAAGTTCTGATCTCAATATAATTGAACCTTTGTGGTGAGAACTGAAGAAATACGTGCTCCAATAAAAACCATAAAATCTCCAAGAACTTCAGGATTACTACTAAGGATCTGTCTATATTTCTGAGATGAGGTATTATGTACACTATATACATTATTCAGACTATTGTCCTCATCTTTGTTGCCATGTTTATCACAACATTTCGGCCATTGTACGCTCCAGCCTTCTTCAGGTGGTTGGAATGTCAAACTGAACCCTTTATTTCACTCACTGAAGTAGACTGTTCTAGTTCCATGTGCCATCTCTAATGGATGTCAGTTATCTCCTGTTAATTCCCCTCTGAGAGTTCCCCACTGCCTTAACCAAATATTGAACTCACACTCTTTGGGTCCTGTCACTAGATCTAACTAACGCCTTTATCCAGGATAAAGGATACCTGGTTAAGGCAGTGGAGAACTTTCAGAGGTGAATTAACAAGAGATAACTAACATCCATTAGCCATGGCATGGGGAACTAGAACAGTCTACCCCAGTGAGCGAAATAAAGGATTCAGTTCGACATTCCAACCACCTGAAGAAGGCTGGTGCGTACAACGTCCAAAACGTTGTGATAAACATGGCGACAAAGATGAGGACAATAGTCCGAATAATGTAAATAGCGTACTACTAAGGAGAATGGCGAAAAAATTCCCAATGAGAAAATCTGGACTTTGTTTCATTCAATACTACATTGAAATGAGGCAATTATTCAAGTCAAAGGTAGAAAAAATAATTACTAACTCTAGACTTTGATGTTTTGTACTCCATGTAATAATAATGATCATTGTTTTCTAAAATAAAATGTCCTTTTCAACTTAATAAAAGAACTGAAAGGTGAAATTTTTTGATGGTGGCCCAGTATTTTTGCATGGCCTCTTTTCAATATTTAAGATGCTCTATCATCCACCATAGAGCACTAATGAAAATGCAATAACTTCTTTTCTGGCCCTCAAAGATCATAAAATATACTGAGAAATGCATGCTGTTAATCAATCTCAATTTGGGGGTAAAATTAACAAAGGTTTAATTTATCAAGTTGGCCTAAAGTTTTTCTATGCCAGTGTATTACTACTATATGTAATAACAATCATAATACTATACAATACTATATTACTATATATGATATGATACAATACAATACTAGTGTAAGGATGCGTTACTTGTCTTCTGTTCACCTTTTCTTTGTACTGCAAGGAACTCTTTTGCATACAATAGGTTAATACAATCAGAGAACAGGTGAAAGGTAAAGAGAATCTAAACCTAAATCTACACGTGAATCAAAAGATGCAATGTGACCCCCCCCTGCTCCCGCCAAACCTTTAAGGTCAGTAGAGAAAGAGATTATCTATCATTGTGAGAGCAGCATCGGTCTGGTGGACGTACCGTCAGGACGTGTGTCATGTAATGATGAGTGATAGGAATCATACGGAGGGATACCAGTATTGGCATGATGCATGGATGAAGAAGGGGCATGGCCTGACGTGGTGGACGAGTTTGTGCTGCGCATGTAGTCGTCTCCCTTGTACAGGCCGCCGCTGCTGGTCTTACTTGTCGATCGGGATGTGGTTGACGTTGTGGAGATACCAATGTTCATACGATGTAGGCCTCCGTCCACTGAAGAGTCATTTCGGTATGCCAATGCTGAACGCTGAAATCAGAAGAGAAAGAAGAAAGATACTAAGTAAAATATACAATGATTCTGAATTACTTTTTTTTTTTTAATATCTTTGTTGAATTCTTTATCTATTTGAATAAAGGCAAGGAGAATTAGAATCAAGTTTAAGGTCTTGTCATACTGAACAACACTAATAAACCACCAAAATAATGGACTTCTGATGCAATGGACAAAATCTGCAGACAAAATAAAAAAAAAAATCTACAGGAAAAAAACTTCCAAATCATTAGCGATGTATTTCAAAATTTGTGGAATTAGTGGAAAAAGTTGTATTAGTTCTCAAAGTGACCTTTTGGCAGCAGTGACAGGCTTTTCAATTGTAAATGAAGACAGGGGTACAGTATATAAAGTATGATACATTAGTGTGTGTGTATGAGAAAGTAGCTGTGAGAAATCTATTATTTTAATTGTTTTGATTAATATATCTATATTAAGTATATATTTATTTATGCCATATATATATATATGTTTATAGTATTTACATTATGATCATAACTAGTGGTAGTTACTATAACAGTTTTATAACCCAAAAGTAATCCCTTCCCATCTATGAACAATCAGATTTAATGGACCACCCCATCCCCCTATTAGTCCATTGATGAGAGGTTTGTCTGTATATATAAATCATAGATAAATTTATATGACTGCTGTAAAAAGGTAGCAGTTTTTTTTTGTCTGTCTATATTTCAGAGATTCTAAATTGTAACTATTTACATTGTTCAGACTGTTGTCCTCATCATTATTACCATCTTCACGATGTTTCAACCATTGTACACTCCACCCTTCTTCAGGTGATATATGTTGGAATTTCAAACTGAACCTTTTATTTAGTCCACATTGGTTGAAGTAATCCAAAAGTGACTTGATTTGTGAGTTCAATACCTGTCAACAGCAGAGGTGAACAAAAACTTGGAGAGTTGAGTTACTAACAGGAATTAACTGAAACAGATATCCAGAAAAGAGCATGGCATGTGAAACTTGAACAATCTACCCCTGTGAACTAAATAAAGGGTTCAGTTCAAAATTTCAACATATGTCACCTGAAGAAGGCTGGAGTGTACAACAGCTGGAATGTTATGAATATGGCAATAAAGATGAGGACAACAGTTTGAACAATGTAAATATTTTTTTTTAATCATTTCACCCCAAGAAAGTCAATAAATCCACTAAGACACAAAGTGTTACTGAGTGGGAAAGAAGATGCGAAAAAAATACTATTAAGGAGAGAGAACAATAAAAGAATGAGAATTAAGAAGATAGAAGATAATAATTGACATTGCATTCAAATTTTTGAAGATCAAAATTGACTGGGGAGCAAAAAGCCAGAAATGTCCATTTGTTTAAATTTTATTATATTTTTCCAATTTTCAAAGAAGTTGTTGCACATCTGGATCATATTTGAAATACTTGTTTAAAGGAATTCTAGTTGTGTAAACACACACAGAGAAAACATATATATATATATATATATATATATATATATATATATGATAGTGGGTACTTCAACATGGTGTAATGGTTAGAAAGCTTTTCTTGCTAAATCAATTACAACTGAGTAGTGTGTCTGATCCTTACTAGGTGCTCTACACTTTCAGCCTTGTGTCACTTCAACGTGGTATAATGTTTAGCCAGCTTGTATTGCTAGATTAATTACGACTGAATGGTGAGTTCAACAGAACTTCCCTCAACAAACATCATCATCTAGGTTTTACTTTATCACTAAGACTCTCAAGTCGATATCCTGCAATAAAGTTGATGGAGATTGACCATGCAGATGACCTAGCTATCACTGCAGACACTATTACCAATGCCACATTTCTCCTACATCATCTAGAAAATGCTTCTGACAGTGTCAATACCTCTAAAACTGAATTCATAAGCTTCAACCACTAAGGTTCAATACAAACTGTCTCAGGTGAATTAATAAAATCTGTTGAATCTTTTACATATCTAGAAAGCAAAATAAATTCTACTGAAAAGGATGAGAAAATTCTCATAGCTAAAGCCTGAGCTGCTTTGAATAAAATAGATGTAATTTGAAAATCTGATCTACTAGACAAACTTAAACAGAGATTCTTTCACATCACTATAGTGGTGGTGTTAATGTATGGTGCCACTGCTTGGACATTAACCAAAACCCTAGAGTCTAAGCTTGATGGAAACTACACTTGGATGCCGAGAACTATATTTAACATCTCCTGGAGACAACATCCAACTAAATCACAGCTCTATGGACCCATCCCTTGTATTTCTATAATCTTATAAAAATGTAGAATATACATTGCAGGACACTGCTGGTAATAAAAAAAGAATTTGTGAGTGATCTACTGCTCTGGACACCTAGCCATGGAGCAAGACAGATTGGTTGCTCAGCAACCACCTACATTGACCATCTACATTATGACACAGAATGCCACGCTAATGATGTTCCAACCTTGATGCAAGACCACGATTGTTGGCATGATACACTCATGAATGTTCAAGCTAGCTTAACTGAATAAAATAATAGTGAGTTCGATCCTTGTGCCACAACTAAGCTACACTTAGTAAATCACTATATACATATGATGGCTGTCACCTCATTCTCAAGACCATCGCAAGATATCATTGTAAGATGTAGTTGAGATTTGAACAGATTTGGATAGATATTTAAAACCTATGGCACAAAGTTATTGCAAAAAGATCATTCAATATCTTGTGTATGAAATTTTTGAAGTGGAGAATGATGTTGCACTGGTTCAATTCCAGTCTCATGTACCCAAAAAGAAGAACCAGTCAACATCATTGACAGACATGAGAAATATACATTTTGTTATCATTTTTGTGACATTCTGCATGTTTTTTCAACCCAACAGTTAACTTGCAAATTATCTACAAAAAGTGACATAAATTCTCAATACTTAATACCATTTTGTACTTGGTTGGTTGGTGATCTGGCATGATGACTTTGCATGTGACTTAATTTTCCTGCTTTACCCAAGCAAAGTGTACCACAATGTTTGTGACATATGCATACACACACACACACACACACACATATATATATATATATAAAAAATAAGCACTTAATTTTATTTGATCACTGCTTCCACTGGTCTGATCTTAAGCCTTATTCAGGTGATTGAGTGACTGATTTGTTTTTTTATGGTTTATCAACCTTTTTTGTCAGTTATTTAAAGCTGAAACATAGCTTTTGAATTGCAAGAATAATTATTTTTCATGAGTGAATATTGCATTAACAATTATTGGAGATAATGATTTTTCAGATATGAGTTCTATATTTAATCCATAGTCGGGGAGAAGAGAATGGATTTCTACCTTTTTCAGAAGCATTTTTGTATAAGTGAATATAGCAAATATGAATGGAATTTGAACTCAATTCTCCCTTTTCCCATTGAGCCACTATTAAACCATCTGGACATCCTTATTCAGGTGAATGAATTTACCTTATTCCTGTTGTATTTCTTATGATGTGAGCCATGTCCTGTTATCATGGTACATTTTTACTGACTTATCCAGATTCTGAACAATAATATCATTTGTTTTATGTGTTGACTACAAGAGCACTTTAACAACCTGGATAATCCAACTGCCATCTTCTCTCTTCCTGAAACTGTTCTTTTATTGTCCTTTCTCCTAACACCTTGCATCTTAGTGGCATTATTGCCTTGCTTTGGATTAAATCATTAAAAAAAAGTAGGTGAATTCATTAAACTGAATAAGACTGTAGATCAGACCAGTGGGACACACTGACCAAACAAAAATAAAGTGCTTTTTTTTTTTTAGTTACTTACAGATAACATAGTGCTTCGAGTACCACCAAGGGCTTCATCCATTTCAAGTTTCTTCCCTTTTAGTTTGTACCAAACACGTTTAATCTCCAACTGAACCTGAAATGACAAAGAAAATCCAAATTGGTTTTGGTTAAACAAGAAACCATCAATGTCGATGGGTTCATTTGGTTTAGTCACCAATGAACTAATTTGACTAATCATTTTAAAACATTTCTTTATCTTCATACCAACATTTGACCTTCTTCAGATATCTGTTGTATTTTGGAATCGTGTACTGATCTGAGGAGCCATGCACTCTCCCTCTCATGATGCTGAGATTAAGTTTTTTATATATATATATATATATATATATATATATATACTCAAAGTGCAATGAGTAAATTATTGCCATTTTGAATTTTGTGCATACACATTTTTTGATTTTGTGACATCATATTATTGTTAGGTCAGTTGGGCGCCATCTGTGAGAAAAAGACCACCATGACACAAATCACTCTGCCAGAAATTTGGAAACAGCATGTTATATTGCCTGGCATTTGTGCCAGAAGCTACAATATGAACATTTCAGAGTGTTTGGGTGTCAATGTGAGGACAATGCAGAAGATTCGGAAAGAGTTGTATGAGTCTGATGGTGGTTCCGAAGGTATGGCAGCTCAAAAAACTCAATCTGATCATTTTGATAAGAAAAGAACTCCTAAATTTGTTGGTGAGAGCCTCAAATTCAACATGTAGGCTTGCATCAAGTGCTTTGAAGAGGTAAAGCTGCCCTGGGTTAATAGGGTGGCTGCTGGACTCTACACCATACCACACATGGAGGAGAACCTAGTCATGGTTGTCAGACAATTTCTGTGACCATATCCCGCATTACATCTGGCCACCTAACTCCCCAGATTGCAACCCCCTTGATTATTATATGTGGTGCATAGTTGAGTAAGAGACCAACAAAAGTCCTTGTAACCCCAAAGATGAAGGCAAGGATTATGGTAGCATTCACCAACTTAAACAAAGAGGCCATACAGAAGATTTGCGGGATATTCTGAAGTCGTCTGGAGGCCATGGTTGAAGCCAATAGCGATTTTATTGAATGAATTTCCTCTTTAGTATTTCAAGATATTTGTGTAATTTTGGTAAATATATCTGTTAATATGAGATGTTAGTGTTATTTGCATTTTTGCATCATTTAGACAATCACATCCTACATATATATATATATATATATATATATATATATATATATATAATTTGTGACTGACTAATTATCAATGCTCCCACATATATAAAATATTAGGTTGTTATATATATTTATCTGATTTTCTGCAAATGATCTCAAAGAATAATCCTTTTGCTTCTTACTAACCCTCGTCGTCCTGTGAAACTGTTGTCCAATGTTATTGAAATTTTAGTTCAGATTAGACACCTGTTTGAGATGGAATGCCAAGTAGGCAAAAATGAGCATGTTCAACATCTTCTCTTTGCTTTTAATTAAGGTCACAAAGCTTCCAAAGCTGCTCAAGACACTTGTGCTGTGTATGAGATGATTTCACATTACCAACAGAATGGCACAGAAATGGTTTTCTCATTTCAAGTTTGAATTCACAGAATCTCCACATTTTGGCTAATCTGTTCAGTTTGATGAAAACCAATTGCAGATGCTGATTAAAGAATAACGGCATAAAAACACTAAGGAATTGATTTAGAACATGGCAAGTTCTCATGTTACTGTCGTTCATCATTTTCACTCAGTGTATGAGTGCCACACACATTGACCAAAAGAAACAAACTCCAGCTCTCCTTCATTACTCAAAAAAAAAAAGAAAGAAAAGAGAAATGGGTGAGTGTTGACAAGCAGGCAACACCCCAAACTAAGCCAGAACTGCATCCACACAAGCAAGTCATCAGCATTTGATGGAATTAGCAAGGACTAATTTACTATGAAATGCTTAAAAAAAACCCAAATAGACAATACTAAGATGTATGTTGAAACAAATGAACAGACTCAAAGAGGAAATTCAGCTGAAATGACCTGACCAAAACTTGAAGTTGGAAAGATAAGTCTTTTGAACTTTTCTTTATCTATTAACTATTGCAATATATATATAATATATATATACAACTGAAAATAAGAAAACAAAAACATAGGAAATAGATAAAGAACAGTTAAAAAATCTTATCTTTTCAATTTTAAGTTTTGCAGTTGGAAAGAAAAAGTCTTCTGATTTTTTTCAAATATTCCTTATCTACTAATTGCCAAGAAAGGTGAAATGCTATAACAACCTGGATGTAAATTTACTGCAGTTGATCTAGCAATTAAAGCACTTTCTATACATTTTTGACTTAGTAAGTTACTTTCCCTTTTAATTAAATACCATTTTTTATTTTAAATCAAAACTATTGTCAGACTTATTATGGTGAGCAACTAATGCTTTGAGTATGCTGTTTTGTAAAAGATCCCTTTTGTCTTCATATAATTTTTTATTTAAATTGCTTGAGGTTTCCCCTATATATTCCTTGTGGCAATTATTACAGATGATAGAGTAAATTCCTCCTTTAATTCCTTAATCACTAGATCATTCACTATAAACTTGCAACCAGGTTCTTACATTGTTTCACCTTTCTTGGCAGATCTATTATCCCAATGTGGGACATTTAATAATAAAAGTGATAAAGACAAACAAATGAAAAACTAAATGAAATCAGCTATGCTACATTCTTAAAGCACATATTTAAAAAAAAAAAGAAAAAAAATTTAATTTAAAATTCTCAGCATCTCTTCTTCATGCGCATATGTCATCACATTAATGCAAACATCACTTTAGTCCGATGAAGGATGAAATGCATCACATGAAAGCTTTTCCACTTTGTCATAGTTTTTTTCTAAAATTGTTCTTGATATATATGTGTGTGTGTCTATGATGGACTCTCCCATCGATTTCAACTTATGAAGATCTGACAATCCCAATCAGTGACACCTCAATCTCACTTGTGACTTCCAAACAAGTTCACATATTGTGCAAATGTGAGGCTCCAGGCTAGTTTGAATTCAAAGTTTTCCTTCTCCTAGGCCAGTTGCCAACCAAGGATATAGAACCCAGTCTGTCCTGCTATTTACCTATAGCTGTGGGGAGAAAAAATGGATTCATATCTTTCTTAAGGGTATTAGCACATAAATGAATTTGAACTTGGCTCTCCAATTCCTCAATCCGAGGTGCAATCCATTACTTCACTGTGCCTATATATATATATATATATATATATATATATATATATAATCTGGTCTTCAAACTACTGTACTTTTACCTTGATGTAGAAGTGTGGAAATAGATATACACATATCTTTTATTTATATAATTTAGATGAAGTATTCACACATGCATCATATAGTATGATTGCTGACCTACAGTCGTATCCACATGAATTGACTTACCTGATGACTGCAGATGACGTAACAAATGAAAATGAAGACACCTGAGAGGCAGGCCATGACAGCAAATAAATAATGGAAAGCAAGATGATCTTGGTTGACAGACAGTAAAGCAAACACCCAAGTTGCTGCAAACATTGGAAGTAAAAGAGTGGCTATCAACAAGTTTTCCCTGAAGAAGAAAAAAAAAAAAAGAAAATATGTACAAATTTAAAGGCAGAATTCAGGATTAATTTGATTTGTATGTTTGTTTAATGGCATATCAATTCATTATGGGTCATTTAATGCCAAAATTTAATTTTGGAGGTGAGGTTTGAAGTAATAAAAATATATATTTTGACTGTTACATTGTAATTTATTTTTGTGCTGTTTTGAATAGGAATATTCATAAATTACAACGTAACAGTCAAAAATAACAACACCAGAGAAAAAAAAACACCCTTGAAAATATCTATAGATGTGGCCAAAAGTGCTTTGGACCATAAAAAAAATTATGGAAAGTTTTTGTACTCACTTACTCCTACAAAATGGAAGGATGCTGGAAAAACTTAATAAAAAAATTAATTAAATCATTCATCCCAGTTGTATTCAATGAAAGATATATATATATATATATATATATATATATATATATATATATATCCACATTTACAATATCTATCTCCAAAGTAGCATGTTTATTATTGTATTCATATAAAATGTAAATAC